AAGCAGAGTAGGAACAGGGGCTAGCATCTTGATGAAGACCCAAGGAACAGTGGACAGGCCAAGGGGATGAGCAACAATGGTAATGTTGGATGCCCACAGCACAATGCAGGTACTGTTGATGAACTAGGAAGATGGGGACATGCAGTTAGGCATCCTTGATGTTCACAGAGGCTAGAAGGTCTCCTGGATGAAGCGAAGAAACAATAGATCAGGCGGATTCCATTCTATACGTTTTTGTACCCAGAAGAAGGTGTTAACAACCTTTAGATCCAGTATAAGGCAGATGCCCCCCCCTTTGGCCTTGGGGGTGAACAGGTTTGACTAGAATCCTCAAAACCTCTCCTTTTTTGGAATGATGGTTATGATCCCTTGGGACAAAGAGTACTCTTCCTACAGGTGACTTACTTAATGAGGTTGACCAGGGATTTGCCAAAGAGGTGTTCCCCATCAAACAGCGTAGAGACATTTCTTGTACAGATGCTCTACAGACCAACATTTGAGTCAAAGGGTCCTGTACATATGTACCGAAAGAAGGCCAAGAATGAATATTTGGTGTATAACATCTGCTAGCCCAACAACACACTAGAGTAGGGCCACAGGCATGAGCTCCAGTTGCTTGAGGATAGAAGGATCCCTCAGGATACAGCCAGGATCTTAAGACATCTGGCAGATGGACATGGTCACAATCAATCACTATACAAGACAGGATACAATAGGAAATGCACTGAAAAAGTGTTAAAAGCTGGAGGCTCTTGTGAAAAGCCAAGCTCATTACTTTAGGTGTAGCTGATGCAGGCAGCTCCAAATCCTGTCTTATGAGAAGTGTGTCAATAAGGACTGAAATGGTATCCTTAAGTTCTTAAGTTTTGATGTAATGTATGCAGACTGCAACTCCTCTTGAACAAAACCCTTGTTCTGTGACTGCGTTCCAGGCTATCAGTGCCAGCCCTATAGAAGGTAGCATGTTACCTCTTGGCACAGGCAGGCTGGCCATGCCCCTAGACCCTCTGCCCTTGCACCTATGATTTGCCATACTAGTAAAGACTGAGAAACCGTCCACAAGAGTGCTCACAAATTTGTTGCCTGAGCAGAAAGCATTAAAGTATATGTAAACCCTCACTTGAAAAACAACCCATTCAGTTTAAAACAGAAATGAAAGGCAAAACATTTGTGCATACATATAAAAAGTATTATAAATACTCTTTTTATAAGTGATCATGTACCCTCTGTATGAAATGCTGGATTTACATATTCTTTAATGAAGCCCGTGACCAGGTCACTTGCAAGGCAGCAGGATACCAAAGGATTATAGAACTGATGCAAGTGCAAAGATGGTAGGTAGTCTATTTGGACCAGCCTGTGTGCATTCAGAGAAAATTGGTGCCTGCAGGTGCAGTATACAGTAACTATTATAGAGGGGACTCACGCAGAAGCAGAAGGACATAGAGCCCAAGCAGCTGCAGAAGGCAGTCTGCTCAAGTGCCAAGTTTAAAATCTGTGTCCCCCTTCCCACTACCACTAATGCAACCGATTGTATCATGATCAGAGTTCAGAGGATTAACCACTTAGAAAGTAACCAGACTGTATGTACCAAAACAGGCTCCCTGCAAAACATGGAAAAAGCCCTACTCACCATGTTCACGAAGGGCCCTGTGACACCCTTCCAGGAACAGGGGAAAAGAGAGCCACTCCTGCCAGTCTTTGCCCCCCTGGAGGACATACCTTATAAGGGGTCTTCAGGGATAGGGTTAGTCCAGATACGTTGCACAGCAGCACTTGACCTCTAAAACACTCTGCAGCTGACTCAGCACATTGCACCATAGGTATCTAGGTGAGTGCCCTATGCAGAACCTAATTTCAAGACACATTAAAAGTCAGCACTGTGACAGGCACGGTGTCAGACCCCCAGCCCTTCTCACCAACTTGTGACTGAAGGACTAGCCAATCTAAACAACAATGTAACAATGCCACGCTCAGCTGCAACCTGCACAAATATTTTCCAGCTCACTGGACCACGATCTATGTGCCGCAGCCTGAGATTGTTACTGGGTCAGGTTAATTACGAAATTAACCCTTAACACTGCCACCACATACAGAGGAGGAGGAAACTCGCCAATCTTAGCAGTAACACTTTGATGTTTGAATAAGCGTCTGTATACACACTGTCACTGCAGGCAGATGTATGCAGAAGTTTTAAACACACAGTAGCGCTCTTCAGAGACAGGGATTCTTAGTTTGCATTAAAGAGCTTTAGAAACAATTCAACACTTTTCAGAAAATAGGATTTATTACTAAAAAGGTCAAAATGGTGCAATAAAAATATTTACAGAAAAAGATATAGCAAATATATATATATATATAAAAAATACAGAGAAAAATAACACAGCAGGGAGATAACAGAAAGAAGTTTAGAAAGGTAGAACACTTGCCAGAGTACTTGGTTTAAGCAGATTCAAGTGTCCTGAGCAAAAGCGTACCTTTTCTCCCAAAGTTGGTTCCTGATGTTAAAAGGGAGAATTCTTCATCTTCTTCTCCATGCCTGACAGCCTATTTTCTAGTCCCCCAGCAGGGGGTGTCTACTAAAGCCAAGGGCCAATCACCTCATTTGGGAAGGGGGTTTTGGGCGGAGACCCAGGCTAGGACTGAAATCCCTGCCAAGTTATACTATGCTCAATCACCTTCTATAGGTACATGTAGCATCCTATCCACTGGTAGAATAATATTCTGAACGTCCAGACACCAAATATGACATATTTGCTTGGGACGGTTAAGGAGATATCGCTTTCTGCTCTCGGGTAGACGTAATCTAGGGATGTAAGGTACCAGGTGACTCGCATTAAACTGATCTGTCTGAATATATGTTTTGTTTCATTGTATGTATTTCCTACGAGAAGTTATTAAAGTGTATGAAAAAGTGGTTTCCAAATGAGATATTGTCAGGGCTCTGGGTATGACCAGAGGTGTGTGGACTGACACAGGGAAACTCAGGCTTCAGATATAGTATAAACAATATAATTTATTTAAGACTAAACAATACATAAACGCAGTGCAAGACTAAACATAAACACAGTGCAAACAAACCAAAACCCCCAACAGATAACAAAAGAACAATACTAAGCGTAGTCGGGCAGGCCGGGTCAGTAGCAAACGGGCAGGTAAGGTACAAAGGAGCAGGCAGAGCGTAGTCAGACGGGCCAGGTCAGGAACAATCAGGCAGACAAGGTACCAAACGAGCAGACTGGAGAGTGGTCAGGAATAGCAGAGGTCAGGACAGGCGGAGTTCAATCAGAGTCAGGGATCAAGCAGGATCAGACAGGAAGCAAAATGTCAGGGCTCCGGGGTGTGACCAGAGGTATGTGACTGACGCAGGAAAACGCAGGCTTCAGATAAGTTATGAACAATATAATTTATTAAAGACTAACAATACAAACATAAACGCAGTGCAATACTAAAACATAACACAGTGCAAACGAACCAAACCACCCACAGATAACAGTACATACAACGCAAGCGTCGTCAGGCAGGCCGGGTCAATAACAATCGGGCAGGTAGGTACAGGGGGTCAGGCAGAGAATGGTCGGGGTCACAAGCCAGGGATGAAACAGGAGAAGTCAGCAGAGGTCCGGATCAGGCAGGGTCAGCAACGAATCAGTCAGACAGGAACAGGGACAGGAACAGGAATGCAGGAACAAGATACAGGACCAGGAAAAACACACACCAAGGCAGAGACTGCAGGTCTGGCCATCCCTTAAATACACCTGCATGATCAACTTTAGGTGTTTGGCTGGCTGCAGGGTTGAGTCTCTGATTGCCGGGAGCACCCGCTGGCCAGCCCTGGTACTGCAGCCCACAAGGCAGGTGGGTCCCACCATTACTGGCAAGTCCATTCCTGACAGTACCCCCCCCCCTCAAGGAGCGGCCTCAGGACGCTCCAAACAGTCCTAGCTGGGCAAAATGTTCCACCGCCCGGGTCTGGTAACTGGCGGGATATCAAAGACTGGCACATCGGGCAGGACTCCGGGCAGCGGCACACCGGGCAGGACTCCGGGCAGCGGCACACCGGGCTGGACTCCGGGCAGCGGCACACCGGGCTGGACTCCGGGCAGCGGCACACCGGGCTGGACTGGGCAGCGGCACATCGGGCAGGACTCCGGCAGCGGCACCGGGCAGGGACTCCGGGCAGAGGCACATCGGCAGGACTCCGGGCAGAGGCACATCGAGCTGGACTCCGGATCACCAGGCGGAGCAGCAGCAGGCACCGGGCCACCAGGCGGAGCAGCAGGCACGGGCCCCCAGGAGGGGCTACGGGCATCGGGCCCCCAGGAGGGGCAACGGGCGCCAGGAGGGGCCCCCAGGCGGGGCGCCGGGCCCCCAGGCGGGGCGGCGGGGTGCCGGGCCCCCAGGCGGGGCGACAGGCATCGGGCCCCCAGGCGGGGCAATGGGCGCCGGGCCCCCAGGCGGAGCGGCGGGCCCCCAGGCGGAGCGGCGGGAGCCAGGCCCCCAGGCGGGGCGACAGGCATCGGGCCCCCAGGCGGGAGCGGCGGGCATCGCGGGCCCCAGGCGGAGCGGCGGGCACCGGGCCCCCAGGAGGGGTGGCAGGCGGCGGGCCCCAGGAGGGGCGGCGGCGGGCCCCCAGGCGGAGCGGCGGGCACCAGGTCATCAGGCATGACAACGGGCATCGGGTCACCATGCATCAGGTCCATTTGGATCGACAGCGGGCATCGGGTCACCAGGCATGACAGCGAGCACTGGGTCATCAGGCATCAGGTCATTTGGCTCGCCAGCGGGCTCCACGTCATCTGGCAAGGCAGTGGGCACCAAGTCACCAGGCACGACAGTGGGCTCCGAGTCAACTGGCATGACCGCGGGCACTGGGTCAGACATTGGATAGTCTGGCCCGACAGCGGGCATCGGGTCACCAGGCATGACAGCGGGCACTGGGTCATCAGGCATGGGATTGTCTGGCTCGACAGCGGGCATCGGGTCACCAGGTATGACAGCGGGCACTGGGTCACCAGGTCATTTGGCTTGCCAGCGGGCACCGCGTCATCTGGCAAGGCAGTGGGCACCGAGTCACCAGGCACGACAGTGGGCACTGGGTCAGACATTGGATCGTCTGGCCCGACAGCGGGCATCGAGTCACCAGGCATGACAGCGGGCACTGGGTCATCAGGCATTGGATTGTCTGGCTCGACAGCGGGCATCGGGTCACCAGGTATGACAGTGGGTGCTCCGAGTCACCAGGCATGACCGCGGGCACTGGGTCAGACATTGGATCGTCTGGCTCGACAGCGGGCATCGGGTCACCAGGCATGACAGCGGGCACTGGGTCATCAGGCATTGGATCGTCTGGCTCGACAGCGGGCATCGGGTCACCAGGTATGACCGTGGGCACTGGGTCATCAGGCATTGGATCGTCTGGCTCGACAGCGGGCACTGGGTCATCAGGCGTGATAGGATCATCTGGCTGGATCAGTTCATCAGGCTGGGTACAGGCATCAGGCTGGGTACAGGCATCAGGCTGAAGTGCGGGTGCCGAGGCACCAGGCTGAACCACGGAAGGCAGGTTCTCCGGTTTGGATACTGGCAGGATGGTACTGGTTGGAAAGAATTTCCGCTTTTTTCTGGTTTTAACTACTGGGGCACTGCAAGTAAACGCAGGTCTGCAAACGAATGGGGCAGCTGAGGACAGAGAAGAGCTGGAAGATGGAACAGAGGAGGGAGCAGTTGCTACAGAGGACTTCTTTACAGGGTTAAAGAAAGGATAGGTGCAGCGAGTGGGAGCAGAGGACTGGTATGTGGTAGTTAGAGTATACTGGGCAGTCACTGGGGGTGCTGTCGGGGATGCAGGAAGAGTGCCTTGAGTGGAGGAATGATGTTGTAAGCTGACTGAGGCTGGGTGCAACAAGTCTGACCATGTCTGCAGTATGGGTTGAACGAAGCTCAGTTTACACAAAGCCTGTCTGGTCGATGACTGCACTGCGTTTATACAATCTCTTAGTACCTGTTGTGAACATGCAGAATAACGCTCCAGAAAGTAATCCACATCATCCTCTAATAACCATACCAGGGACTCTACCTGGTCGGCACTAAATGGGGGCAAAAATTCATCCCTGCATTCGGGGGGTACCAGATGAAACCAACTCAGCACAAACCTGAATCAATGGCTGCACCTCAGAGAACTCTGTGCCTTGATCTACTAGGCAATGAGCGATCCATATACACTCTAGTAGTTCATCCCTGGGATACTCCTTCAGAGTTTGATAAGCATATTCTCTGTCATCAAACACTAGCAGAGATAAATACATAACCTCATCAAGATCCATCCTTCCCAGCAACAAGCCAAGATGGCTTCCCTGTGCAGCCACTTCTGGTCAGGATTGGCCTTGGTGTAATGTCAGGGCTCTGGGGTGTGACCAGAGGTATGTGACTGACGCAGGGAAACGCAGGCTTCAGATAAGTTATGAACAATATAATTTATTAAAGACTAACAATACAAACATAAACGCAGTGCAATACTAAAACATAACACAGTGCAAACGAACCAAACCACCCACAGATAACAGTACATACAATGCAAGCGTCATCAGGCAGGCCGGGTCAATAACAATCGGGCAGGTAGGTACAGGGGGTCAGGCAGAGAATGGTCGGGGTCACAAGCCAGGGATGAAACAGGAGAAGTCAGCAGAGGTCCGGATCAGGCAGGGTCAGCAACGAATCAGTCAGACAGGGACAGGGATGCAGGAACAAGATACAGGGCCCAGGAAAAACACACACCAAGGCAGAGACTGCAGGTCTGGCCATCCCTTAAATACACCTGCATGATCAACTTCAGGTGTTTGGCTGGCTGCAGGGTTGAGTCTCTGATTGCCAGGAGCACCCGCTGGCCAGCCCTGGTACTGCAGCCCACAAGGCAGGTGGGTCCCACCATTACTGGCAAGTCCATTCCTGACACAAACAGGATGCAGGTACAGGGGCTCTTGGGAAACATACACCAAGGCCCTGATTGCAAGTCTGGCCATTCCTTATATGCACCTCCTGCAATCAGCCTCAGGTGTTTTGGCTGACTGCAGGAGTGAGCCTCTGGTTGCTGAGAGCACCCGCTGGCCAATCCTGGTACTGCAACCCACAAGGCAGGTGAGTCCCACCACTATTGGCGAGTCCATTCCTGACAGATATGTTTTACTGCTATTCCGGAATGCTTTCAAGTCCAGTGACTGGCGGGTTTTATAGCTTTATGAGCAGCTCAGAGCAAGAGTGGGACAGACACCATGGCGTCAGCTAATGGGGTTTACAACCATGAAGGGTATCCAGCTGTGCCCTGTGCACTGCTGAACTCAGCACACACCAGACAACATGCCATTCAACAGAAAGGGAGGAGGGGAGATTTGGAGTGAGGATGACACAAGATGGAGGATCTTTAGCAAAATGGATGTTCGCGTCCATATTTGTACATACAAATGCTACAAGTACAGCTTCTTTTTAGCAGGTACAGCTTCTGTGGTAAAGCCAGTGATCAGTCGATCCAGAAAGCTGTTAAAAAAAGCTCCTTCTGGCTTTGCAGCAACTTAAGAAAGTTGTTAGAGGCAAAATGAATCTTGAATGTTTGCTTTTCTCAGAGGAGAGTAGACATCCATTCTGCCAGGACACTAACAAAAATGTAGGTGTGCTGGGATTGGGAAGTGTTATACTGCACTGCCCTTAGGCTCCATTTGCATCTAAGTGTTCAGTAAACGCATGCAAATCACGTTTGCACACATGTTCAAGGAATGCGTGAAAAACATGTCAAACTTGGGGTGCCATTAATTGTTACTAGCACCTCAAACATGGACAGCAGACATGAATTTTCATGTACAAATGTGCCCACATATCGCTGCGTTTGTCGATCGTAGGTCAGCCAATTCAAATGAATGGGCTGCCTAATGGATAAAGCACAAAAACATGTTAAAAAAAACGCATGTGACGCAGAGATATGAATGCAGCCTTACAACTTTTTTTTTTTGTCAGTGCCAGGCCAGCCTGCTTCTCGTTTTTATCATTAGGCAGATTTGTCAGCTCATCATTCAAGCTTTTGACCTCAAGAGCAAAGTTCCCCCTTTCCTGGTTAGTGCTTCACTGGCTTTTCAACATCATACATCTGTTTCCCAGATTTGCAAAGCTGGTACTTGATCTTCTGTTCACACATTCGATAAAATTTACCAGGTGGACATTTAGGCCTTAGCTGATGTTGGCTTTGGTTTTATGTTTTTCAGGTGACTTTTGTGGGCCCATTTGATAGTTTTTGTCAGCCTGTTACCCTTTGTTCTGTTGTCCACCCCATCAGCTGGGCTGCTTTTGGTTGGTAAAGAAACTTTTGGCTGGCTATGGTACCACAACTGCAGACATACAATTCCACAAACAAAAAGAAAAAAAATTCAAGAACGAACTTTAGTTTTTCTAAAATCAAAGTGTTTTTTACCTTAATACTTGCAGTATGGTAAAAAACCTTCTACTAGTTGTTTCCCCCACCCCCTTCCGTAAATACTTATCTGAGTCCTGTATCCAGTGCTGTGCCCATCTGCAGCACTGCTGGTTCCCTCTCTCACGCACAAATTTCAAGGGTTTTCAAGCTAGATTTATCAAGACACATTGGTATTGATATAACACCATCAAGTGCTGCACTATATATATATATATATATATATATATATATATATATATATATATACATACGCACACCCATATATATTGTGACACTAAGGCTACTTTCACAATGATCCTAGCAAAAATGCATATGCATTTTACAGGACATGTGACCAGCTGTGTCTGAATGACATAGCGATCACAGATCACGCACGGGATGTGGTTCTGAGAGGACATCCATGGACGCCCTCCTAGAGCCAGTGAACCACACTGTAGCTTTTGGCTATAGCGCGGTCGGGAGGTGGTTAAAACGCAAAAGCAGAAGAAAACCACATCAGTGTCAAAGCAGCCTTATCTGTATGTGGAAAGCAGAGTGTGCAAGCTAGTTGCCAGGTTTTTTTTTTTTTTAGTTTGGGTTGTTTTGTTTTTTTTGCACATGGAACGCTTTTAACCTCTTCCCATCCACCCATTTTACATAGACGGCGGATAGGAAGCAGCACCGCTGTGGGCTAACGTTCCTGTACATAAGCCCGCATCAATGGCTCCTGTGCGGCTCTCAGAGCTCGCATCACGGTGATCGGTGTGTCGCCCAGATACAGCGGATCACATTACCGCTGTGTTTGGGTGATCATGTGTTGTTTTGCCATGTGAGTGCTGTGACCAATCACAGCACTCACATAGTATACACTGAAACTGAAAGTAAAGATTGCTTTTCTCTGATCAGTATGAGAACAGAGAGAAGCGATCCTGCAGTGTGTGAGTGTACAGCAGCCTGTCAGGTTGTTTGTACAGACACACTGCAGTGCAGGCCACCCCAGTGCCCCAGTTTAGTGCCCCTGATCACTGCCTCACAATATCAATAATAAACAATGCAGGGAGCCCGAGTGTGCACAAAACACCCTAATATAGCATATCAGTGTCCTGATCACTGCCATATGCCATACCAGCACCCTGATCACCGCCATAGACCATACCAGCACGCTGATCACCTCCATACACCATACCAGCGCCCTGATCACCTCCATACACCATACCAGCGTCTTGATCACCGCCATACCAGTGATCTGATCACCGCCAAACCATCGTTTTAATCACCACCATACCCTATACATGCATCCTAATCACAGCCATACCCTATACAAGCATCCTGATCACCCCCATACCCCATAACAGTGTCCTGGCTATTGCAAGATCAGCATCTTGATCACTGCCATACCTCATGCTAATGTCCTGATCATGTCTCTGCCATATGCCATACCAGCGTCCGGTATTTTGGGATCTCAACTGATCAATTTTCAAATATATATCCATAGTTTGCAGACTCTATAGCTTTCACACAGACTAAATAAAATACACTGTTTTGGGTTATTTTTACCCCAAAAATGTAGCAGAATACATTTTGGCCTACATTTATGAAGAAAAATTATCTATTTGCAAAGTTTTATATTTAAATGTTCAGTATTTTTTCATTTATATAGCAAAAAAAAAAAAACCCAGTGGTGATTAAATACCACCAAAAGAAAGCTCCATCTGTCTCAAAAAAAGGATAATTTCATATGGATACAGTGCTGCATGACTGAGTAATTGTCAAAATGTGATAGTGCTAAAAATTGGCCTGGACTGGAAGGAGGTGAAAATATCTGGACTCGAAGTGTATAAAATTTGTTCATTCTTTATGTTAGACCTTTACTCCAACTGATCAGCTATATAGTTGGATTAACCACACTTTACAAAGTAGGAACATGCACAATCATTTTCTGTGATGTAGAGAAAAAACACTTTCTAACAATTTAGTGAAGGAAAGATAATTACATTTTGCAGGTACACACCACATGATTTGTAAAAGTGGCGCTATTAAGAACTACCTGAATTTGGCACACGTTGATAAAGTTGCCAAAACAGGTGGCAGGGATTTTTTAATCT